GATTATGTATAACATGTTTTGTATGTGATTTCAGGTCATTTGGTTTTCGTTTTAGGGCACAGGAGCCCAAAATGTATATTTTTGGTAAAAAATATTAAAAAAAATTAAATTTACATAATTTTTTTACCTTTCAGACAACACGTATCCGAGTGAAGCAAACGGCCGCCGTGGTCTCCGTGACTTTGTTCGCCCCTACCGCGGCTGCATTCTAGGCGTTACTGCTTTGGTGGCAACCTTGGTCATCTTGGGACTCGTCGTAGTGATGTTCAATGTTAAAAAGGTATTTGTTGGATGTATTTGGACTTATATATGTATGTAGAGATGGATGGATGGATGGATGGATGGATGGATGGATGGATGTCTAGCTAAGCACGACTCGAGAAGCCATGAATGGATTGTCATGACAATTTTTAGCTTTTTAGGCGGGTTGCATCAAAGGAACTGTCACTGCGAAGACAGATTTTGATTGAGAATTGAGGCCATACCTAGCCTCAAGAGGTTGTCGTGATTGTCTTGATTTTTACATAATCACGTAATAATTATGTGAATGTATGGACAATTTGCACAATCAGTAAGGAAATTCTGGAATCAGCATTTAATTTGCATAATTGGTGAGAAAATTCTATAAATCTGGTGTGTTCGCTAATAGGAAACACTTGTGACATATGTAATTGAGAACAACAAGAACATTGGCAGATGTCTATCATGTAAATAAAAACATAATCTGCATCATGAAATGACAAATTGGTACAATTTTATAGTGGTAACTGCTGGGAAATTAATACTTGCCATACTCAGCAGAGCTAAGGCGGCCCAGGGCATATTCTAGCTACCACTTAGGTCCTGAATAAAACTTGTAATAACTCGACAATACATGTTTCAAAATGGCTCAAATTTGCAGGGGAGATAAATTAGATGAATATCAGTGCGTCTAAATAAATTTGATGTTGTTATGTTAAGTCTATTTGTTTAGATTATGAAAATAATAATGCCATTATTTTTGGCAAAAAATGGAGTTTGCAGAACTATTCCCAAAGTCCAACAGTCACAGTTTTTGCATACAGCTGCTAACACATACCTTCTAACAGAAACTGGTGAGTTAAATCAAGATTTCCTTTCCTTTGTTTTGAAAAATTGTTTTTTATGAATATCATTGATAGATTTTGAGGGTAGCTCTTTAGAAATTGGCTAATAACAAAATGTAGCAATCATTTAACAAAATATTCATATCGTTTTGAACGGGACATGACGCATCATTTGACATACTTGTTTTCCTTCCTGAAAGGTGGCTATAGTTCTTTAAAAGTCGTTCAAAGTTTGTACTACAAATTTGTAGCAGGAAAGCCACATTTTGCCCATTTTCTCCCATCAATCACAATTAATCATGTTGACAGCCACATCAATTAGGTGTTTTAGCACCTCCACGAGACACAATTATGAGCCATCCGCATTTGCATAAGGACGTATTGTTATGCGCAGTTCTGTGAGTCAGGGACTGTCACATTGTTGTCTTTACCTTAGTTGAAAGGAGGTTGGTTGAAATAGAGAAGACAAAACGAACGAAAAAAAAGTTGCAAATGCCAAAAGTCTTCATAACAAAGGCTGAAGAACATTTATTACCGTATTTTAGCTAGTTTTGCTCAACAATCTATGGTATATATACATAATTTTCTCTCAGAAAATGGACTGGGAGACTCGTATCACGAGATCCAGTGATTCAAGTAGGCAGATAATAAAATGGGTTGCAAAGTAGCAAAAATTACATGATGTGTTGTGATTGTTTAAATATCACGCACGGGAAGGGCATTTTTTTCTATCAGGCTGCTTCTAACTAGCCTGGGCGCCAGACTGTTTCCAGGGCGTACAATTAGGCCCGCTTCTCGGGTCCCGGACTAACATGCCCCCGAAGAAATTTTACCACAGAGCCTCTCAGTTATAGCCCTGAGCCTGTACTCTGGCTAACTCGGGGCCTAATGCGCTATAGGTCTTGGTATCAAGGTTACTACTTGCTTCTACATGTACCAAGGACATTATACAGAGTGTATAATGTCCTTGCTTCTACCATGGGGGTAAGGTAAAATTACTGTTAATTTTTACCTCCATGCTTCTACCAAGAGGACAGAAACGGTGAACGTAAAATGATTTGGCCTCCGACTTGCTTCATTGTGCCACAAATAGCCTCCTTCAGACTCCTTTGCATGCTGAATAAATAGTAGAAATTGACCGAGAAACGTAGCCTCCTTCGCAGACTTCTGAGGCAGGGCATTATTTCTTGGGGGGTGGCGTGGAGGGACAGCTACGTTTTGCTGCTGAGGGATTTTGCCGGGGAGAGACGATTTCACCGCACCGAGTTGAATTTATTTCAGACTTTTACAGTACAGCCCAAAAACATGAAACCTCTATGCAATCATGCAGGTAAAAATATTTCTTTTTGACCTCCTTGATGCAATCTAGACCTGTGTTGGCTTTTCCTTTGTCTGTATGCTGGAGGCCATCTGTAAAAAATCCTGGGGGTCCAACAATTAACTCACCAGGAGAAATTAACGCTTGATACAGATGCAAAAGCGGGCGGGACCGAAGGCGGTGAACAGATACTCAAACTTATGCATATTTACAAGCAAGTCACTCGCACTTGGTTCATTACAATATTAAAGTAGTTAATCATAATATTAAAATGAGGTATATGGCAAGGCAGGCCTGGGCCGCCTTAGCTCTGCTGAGTAGTTCGAAGTTCAGTGATTATGAGTATGAGCATCACTGAAATAATTTATAACATCACTTACGATAATTTATTCAAATCAGAGCCTCATTTGCATAATTTGTAAGGAAGTGCTAAAATAGCCCTATTTCTTAAGATAAGACTGTAACTAGTGCTGAGTGGAGAATAAGAACTGTTATAATTCATGCAAATGAGACCCTTACAATTTGCATAATCACCGTCAAGATCTATAATGTTCAGTATTTTATGAAGATATGACGCCGTGGAACTCTTGTTGTGTATGAGACCTGAAAATTAGTCTCTTGAGCTTCCATATAACCAACAATAAACAACATATACCTTGTCCATGCCAAATGATAAGGATTTCACCAGTGTGCTGCATGTTGCTGACATATTAAATTGTGTAGACAGGGCTTTAGATACAGCTTTAGTCTACCTGTCTGAGATTTCAATATCCGCTCCTGCCATATCTATTTATTTCAACCATCAAAATAATTCCATATTTTAATGTATTCTATCAGCTTTCCTTTTTAATTAAGATACTGAAAGATATAAAGCTAACAGTTGCACGAACATTTTAAACATTTCATCGTGAAAGCAAACACATATGTTGAAAAAGGAAGTATAATAACGTATTTTCGTATACAGAATAATTCCTAAGCCAAAACACTGTGTTTGCAAATAAAGGATACCCCCCCCCCGTAGCTACGAGAACGATATACTTGTAATTTCTTTAGCCTCTCAAATTTTAGTAAAAAGGGGAAAAAAATTTAAATGAAAAATGATGCCAATTGGCCATTTTCACGTGCAATGAAACCCGTCACCAATAATTTAGCCACCAAAGTGACCTAAGCCTTATGTATTAGCTAGATAAGTATAAAGAAAATCCTAACACTGAGATTATCACAATAGCCCGTCACGCGAGGCATGGCGACAGCACCCCCGAACGCATACAAGGCATATCTAGGTCAAACCGAAGCACCGCACTCAAGGCGGAAGGACCAGTAGTGGCAAGGTATTGGACTTAGTAGAGCATGGGGCATTTCAGAACCTAGCAAAAAAATGCAGATAAGCACAGGTGGTGTGCTTAATGGACCCTGATGTTAGATGTTAGACGGCAGTTGAAAATACATGCCATGTTTTTTCTTACAGTGCCTGCCTACATAACTGTTAGGTTTGTTTTTTAGAAATCTACCAAGAGAATCTAACAGTACAAGGATCACTGATTACTACATGTAGATAACCACAGGTGGTGTGCTTAATGGACCATGATGTTAGATGTTAGACGGCAGTTGAAAATACATGCCATGTTTTTTTTCTTACAGTGCCTGCCTACATAACTGTTATGTTTGTTGTTAGAAATCTAACAGTACAAGGATCACTGATTACCACATGTAGATAACCACGTGATGTGCTAAACGTTGTTAGATGTTAGACGAGTGTTCAAAATGCATGTCATGTGCACCTTTCTGCATTTCCCGGACTGCAAGTGCAAACATGATATAGCTATAGGTGACATCACTGTTAGATTCCCTGTTAGGAGAAAAGTATGCTTCTCATGTTTACTCAGACCTGCAGCGAGGTACGTTTACTGAGCTCTACCGGAGATGCGGGAAAGAGGTTGAAAAGCAATGAATTCCCCTGGCTGCGAAAACATTCAATGTTAGGCTTTCTGTTAGGTTTTGAAATTCACCAAGGTTTGCTATGTCCAATTCCTTGCCATATATAGGAAGGACACCCGGAAGGAAGCCTCGGACCCAAAATCAATTTTTACTCAAAACACGCCACGTCTTACACTTCCCAGCCATGTAAGTAGTTAATACCATTTTGCAGCAGATTAATGAGAAATGTGAACTCAAATATGAACCATTGAAACCCCTTCGTAATTTTTTACCACCCACTACCGCGGACTTGAATTGGGGTGTGCACCGATAATGCAATAAGTGTCTCTCAGCAGAACAGTCGATGTTTCCCAGAAAAAGAATGAGAAAGGAAAATTCCTTTCCCATGGTCTGGGGGAATTTTCTTCCAAAGGGGTGTCTTTCGTGTGATTTTTGATCGATTCACGCCGGGATAATCAAGCAATGAGTTCACCTATTCTGCTCGGGTCCCCTTTTGTCTCTTCTTCTATCATTGGTACCGGTCGGTCAATCTAAGCAACTGCAACGTACTGTCTTCCCTTGCTAAATCAAAATATTTTTACTCTAACGTATTGTAGGAAATTACTCAGCTGTCGGGCACTCTTGGCGCCTTGAAACGTGACGTAGACGGCATATCCCAAATGTCAGACACTGTCGACGCCTTAAAACGTGACGTAGACGGTATATCCCGACTGTCCGACACTGTTGACGCCTTGAAGCGCGACGTAGACGATATATCCCGACTGTCCGACACTGTCGACGATTTGAAACGTGACGTGAATGGCATATCTCGACTGACTGACACTGTTGACGCCTTGAAACGCGACACTGACGGAATATGCCGACTGTACGACACTGTCGACGCCTTACGACGCAACATGAACAACGAGGGAAACTCCACAGCTGCAAAAATGGCGTGTCTTAGCGAGAAAGGTTGGGTACTTATTTACATTCACAATTAGGATGATATTTAAACCCATCTAGACTGTAGTGGAGATGCTAATGTACTTCTACTAATACTAATGCAATAAGAATGGACATCTTCAGTTCATTATATTTCAGTCCATACCATGGTATGTATGAAATATATTGTGTTCCCTCATGTTTCTCCTCCTCCTTCTCCTTCTCCTCCTCCTCCTGCCAAACAGTCAAAGGGATTCAACTCCGCCATCATTCAGCCAAATGACTTGAAATTTGGCATGAAGGTAGAGTGGGCAAATACCCCCAGACTTTTTTTTCATTTTTTTGAAACATGCCTTTGAAAATTTTTTATGAAGGTTTTTTGGGGCATTTTTCGACAAAAATGGATTTTTGGATCCTGAGCCCTGGTATTACAACCAAATGATATGACATTCGGTATAAGGGTACCTTGAACGTGTGTCTACAGAATAGCAGTCATGTATTTGGCATACATCACTTCCAAATGACTCATTTGGGAGACTTTAATGGCTATTTTCATAAAAAAAGGGCCAAAAGTGCTATACCCGTTCCATGTTCTATCTAAAGAATGGCCGGTTCCATCCATGGAACACGTGTTCCATTGCGGGTTACCTGAGGTCACATTGCACCTAAGTGGTGCGTGATGACCCACACTTTCAATTTTATGTGACTAAGACCTTCAAAATGTATCAAATCTCATCATTGTTAGTTTTTGCATACCTGTAATAAGATTAGTAAAGCTTTCGAGATTCAAAGTACTTGTTGTTGCATCTTTGTTCTCATATAGCTACTATTTTTAAATTAAAATTCATTTATTTGAGAACCTTTGCCAGTTTTGCACTGGGGTAAGTTTGGAATAGTCCACTTTTGCGTGGGAGGGAGATGGACTGAAATATGCTGTATTTGCTCCCAAGCAAATGTCGGCCTTTCTAGTTAAAATTGTCTTTTGAGGCTGTATTGTATTTTCTAAGTTTTAACATTGACTGTCCAAGATGGTCAATAGCTTGACTATGCAAATTATTCAAAATAAACTACAATACGTTGATAAATACTACAAGTCACTACTGTTAGTGTCCTGTCCCCTGTAAAATGGTAAATCTAACAGCCGGCCTCTTTCACCTTTCATCTGTAGCCTCCCCAGTGCCCTACTCCGGCTGTAAGAATCCTGCCATACTCAAAGGAAACTCCGGTACTTTTACCTCCCCTGGTTACCCGAACAACTACAATAACAACGCCCGGTGTTCCTGGACAATAACTGTCTGCAGTGGAAGGCGGGCCGCCATCAGGTAAGGCCCCGTAACACATTCAGAACCTTCCACTGACCACAAGTCGACTTCCCCTGAACACTAGCCAACCACAAAAGTAGCTAACCATGGCCGGGCCTCCCGTCTACACTGCAATATTT